TTTATTCACAAATAATTTGTCTGTCTTACTGCTGTGTAGTTGGTAGTAAAATCTCTTCAGAGTTACTAATTGTCTGGCACCACACTCAAAAATAGTTTTTAACGAGCATTCCCTTAAAATAATTTGAAATTAAATGTCTGTTCATTTTTTTGACTCTAATGTCTTGTCTTCAGTTTTCCAGCCCTGTATATTTTATTGTCTCTAATCAATAGCACTATGTTTTCAGTTTTCCAGCCCTGTATATTTTATTGTCTCTAATCAATAGCACTATGTCTTCAGTTTTCCAGCCCTGTATATTTTATTGTCTCTAATCAATAGCACTATGTTTTCAATTTTCCAGCCCTGTATATTTTATTGTCTCTAATCAATAGCACTATGTCTTCAGTTTTCCAGCCCTGTATATTTTATTGTCTCTAATCAATAGCACTATGTTTTCAATTTTCCAGCCCTGTATATTTTATTGTCTCTAATCAATAGCACTCTGTCTTCAGTTTTCCAGCCCTGTATATTTTATTGTCTCTAATCAATAGCACTATGTCTTCAGTTTTCTAGCCCTGTATATTTTATTGTCTCTAATCAATAGCACTATGTCTTCAGTTTTCCAGCCCTGTATATTTTATTGTCTCTAATCAATAGCACTATGTCTTCAGTTTTCCAGCCCTGTATATTTTATTGTCTCTAATCAATAGCACTATGTCTTCAGTTTTCCAGCCCTGTATATTTTATTGTCTCTAATCAATAGCACTATGTCTTCAGTTTTCCAGCCCTGTATATTTTATTGTCTCTAATCAATAGCACTATGTCTTCAGTTTTCCAGCCCTGTATATTTTATTGTCTCTAATCAATAGCACTATGTCTTCAGTTTTCCAGCCCTGTATATTTTATTGTCTCTAATCAATAGCACTATGTCTTCAGTTTTCCAGCCCTGTATATTTTATTGTCTCTAATCAATAGCACTATGTCTTCAGTTTTCCAGCCCTGCCACGCCACTGTGCTGGCTCTTTATTGTGGACAGGCACTTGTCTCTGAGGTGTCAGAGGGCCAGCGCTGTGGTGTGGTTCTGGACCGGACCTGTTTTTACGCAGAACAAGGAGGGCAGTCCCACGACCACGGCTACTTTATTAAAGATGGATTACAGGTACACAGACACACCATGTATTAATTAACAATGTCACTCTTATTCCGTTATTGCTGAACTATTGTGTTTTTGAGAAAGTATTTACTACTAGTATAGAGGAAATCATTATACCATTTTAATTGCGGTGAAATGTTTTTTCTTTCCAAAATATATATATATTACTGCTGACTAATATATCGAACTCAATTCCAAACACACTATGTTGTGGAGAGAAGAGATTACAATAAAGAACAATGTTGTCGTAATTCGACTACTTTCCACGTGCAAGAGAAATACATATACATTTCTTAATGTCAGATTTCCTGACATTTTTTTAATTGGTCGATGGCATATTTGCAAACATAATTATTTTGTCCGCTGTGTGTTTCCTCAGGATGTCTTGTACCCTGTTGAGGCTGTACACCTGTCTGGGGGATATGTGGTCCATCAGGTCACCCCTGCAGATGTGCTGACCAAAGGAGACCAGGTCCAACTCTACCTGGATGAGGTATAAGTCAGGGAAAAGCACCAGCATGTTGCATCGTGATAATAATGTACAACTCAATGGAAACAGGTCCAGTCCCGTTGCGAGGGATGTTCTGAACAGAGGTGTTTTGTCTCATACCAGAGGATGACAACATTCACTTGTGGAATGTGCAGTTTTTAATAATAATAAATTATTAATTTAAATCAACAGTAACAAAGGCCCAATTGAAGTCTATAGAAACGATGCTGTAACCATCTTCATGTTCAACCTTTTAGATGAACGATCAAATAATCTAGGCTAGTCACATTATATTTGACTGCCTGTATCCAAAAGTGAAGATCAGATCCCGTCAGCAAAATACAATAGAGAGCAACATGTGAGGTGCAGGAGGTTTTTTAGTCAATAGCCCTGTCATGTCCTTGTTTCATTGGCTAATGTATCTGTCAGTTAATTGCGTATTTCCGTCCAGGCACATAGACTGGCCTGCATGGTGAAGCACACAGCCACACACATCCTTAACTTCGCCCTGTGTCAGCTACTGGGTCCTTCTGTGGAACAACGAGGGAGTCACGTTGCTGCGGACCGCCTTCGCTTTGATTTCAGCGTCCAAGTAAAACCCTGTTTTTGCCCTTTTTAGATAATTGTCCACTATTATTAGATAATTTGTTTTTGTTCTCTCTTGGTGAATAATTTTCGACTCAGTGGAACATAGTGATCCAACATGCAGTAGCTATGTTAAGCGATTTACTTTATACAGCCACGGCTGTTGTTGTTGTAATACCCGACTGAAATCAATTAATCAAGCAACGACAAAAAAAGCGAAACAAATTGACAATACAACAGGAAATTTGTAAAAACACATACCAAATTGATTGTTTACTGTTAAACCCAGGGCAGTATAATACACTAATGGAGTTTAGCCAACAAAGTAATTTGTATAAATACCATTGCCTTCTTTCTGGTGGTCACATTGGAGGGCTCTTTGAGTACTACCCAACTCCAGACTATTGAAGAGAGCATCCGGAACATAATTACGGAGAACCACGCGGTGTACATTGAGGAGGTTCCCCTGGCCCGGGTTAACGACATTCCTGGACTCAGGACTGTAGATGAGGTGAACTAAGTGCTCATTTGTGCCCAACAGCATTTAATCGTCGTGACTAATATCTGTTTGTTTGCTTTTAGATCTGTTTGTGTTGTTTCACGGTAGCTAACTGTGTTTGTCTGAAGTGCCATATATTCATTAATGCACAGCTAATGTTGCTATTTGTAGGTGCAGCCTACAGTATACTTCATTAAAGGTGTGTTTGAATATGAGGTTTTATTTCACCTCTCTAATTGTTCCTAGGTTTACCCTGACCCAGTGAGGGTGGTGTCCCTGGAAGTGCCTATGTCAGACCTGTTAATATCTCAGACTGCCAGACCGACGTCAGTGGAGCTCTGCTGTGGAACGTGAGTGAAGTAGAAGCCTATTCTTATTTTACATGACTCCTTTTATGAGTGTATAGATGTGACAAATCGGCATATTGGATTTGGCAGTTCTAATAGTAGTGAACAATTCTGAGTAGAATCAATACCTTCCTATAGAGGGTCGTAGTGGCTTCTAGACCAAGAGTCTCTCTCTTTTTTTCAGGCATTTACTGAGGACCGGGGAGATCGGAGATGTGGTCATCGTTTCAGAGAGACAGTTGGTGAAGGGCATTAGCCGTATCATTGCAGTTACCGGGGACGACGCCAGACAGGTCTGTTTATTATTATAGATGGAGGTTGTTACACTGTACAGGCCGTGTGTTCAAACCAACATGTATTGATTGTTTACACACTGTAGAAGGTGCTGCAACATGCGTACATATTACAGCCAATATGCGAACAGAATGAAATATCAGAAATCTGAATTATGTCAAGGTCCAACTAGCGGTCTTAGCATAGATGACACCTTTTGATTTTGTGTTTGAGCATTGCAGTAAGACATTGTCATGCTGACATGCTGACTGAGACATTGTCATGCTGTGAGAGACATTGTCGTGTTGAATGAAGCACACCAACTTCACTTCTATAGTTGTATTTTCTTGTTCTAGTTGTTTTTTTGGCTTGCAGGCTCGAGAGGCAGGACAGACCCTGGGTCAGGAGGTGGAGTCTCTGTCAGCACGTCTCGCAGCAGTCACCAGCCCCTCCCTCTCTGCCGCCTATCGGCTAGCCAAAGATGTGGGGGTACTGACAGATGTAAGTATACGTATTCATTTCCTTCACATTGGTCTAGAATAGATAAATGACCCATCTGCCTTAAATGTCTGAGAATGTTTCAAAATCCAAAGGAAGTTTGACTATTCAATTAGCTTATGATAAAAGTTTCACTATTCAATTAACTTGTTATACATTTTTACACTCCTTGGATTTATGACAGATTTCTCTCAAGTTGGATCAAAATTGTAAAAAGAATATCTCCTAACTTAAATTCAGATCCTTGTCTTATAAAACCTTCTTTGCAATAACAAGTGATATTTCCCGTGTGTATGTGTGGGTGGGGGGGGGGCAGGTTACTGCTGCTCTGTTTATCTAAACCAGTGGTTCTCAAACCGTTTCGGTCATTCCCCACTTTGGACAAGGGTGATTTTCAAGCCCCACCTGCCCTCATCGCCACAATTATATATGTGCACA